GTTTTATTAAAAACTAACTGCAGGTTATTCAATAAAATAAATATATTTATAAATATTCAAAATAACACGAAACGCGATAAAAATATTCGATATCTTGTTATCGTATACAATCTTCACTTCTAAATTTTATTTGAAATCTAAATCAATAAAATTTCTCAGTTTATAGTAATATATTCAGCTTGTATTGACCAAATTTCTGGGAAAATACAGCAAACTTCATTCATCTGAATTTGGTGTTCTTAACAGTTAACACAAACTGAAAAATATACATATCTAATTTAATTAAAATTAACGAAGTTTTTTTAGAAAACACTGAGATTTTTGATAAAAAATAGTATACAATTTGGGTATACATTTGATGAAAGCTTGTCCAAGGTAATGTACTCTTTGATTTTATTTACCACTATACCAAACATATTCAACATTGGTTGCTTAAAAAACACAATTACAAATATAATTGGAAATTTAAAATGATGGTACTTTTGAGACCGTCCCGGATTTTAAAGAAACTGTATAAACATCTTAATAATAATTGATATCTCACTGAAAAACATTAAGTACTATTTAAATAGGTATTGTAAATATTTTTTTTAGTTAAAATAATAAAAAGAAAAGTTTATAATATTTATACACTTGGTAAAACAATACGTTTACGAAATTTGTAGAAGTAAATAAATAAACTTAAAATGCATATTACTGCATGCTGTTGAATGTGGACAACACGTTATTATAACAGCGCATTTATGTTAAATATATATATAAAAATTATATAACAAAACTCGTGTTTGATTAAAGTTTATGTTTATTTTGAAACCACTTAACATAAAGTGAATCTTGATCGTAATTCGTACTGCATAACAATCGAGTCTCGGTTCCATTTACCGTCGGAAAATCCCTATAATTCAAAATGTGATTAAATATAAAGTTCATCATTTGATGTATAAATTCGTTGACTGTACATTTATCTTTATACAAGTCAAGAAATCTAACTATTGTTAAATTAAGACGATTATCAAAATTATTAAATATGTATATGTAGCTTAGGTTAGTAGCTTGTATAAGCATTTGCAAATTCGTTATAGACATATATACACATAATATGATTCACGACAGAAGTCAATTCAATTAATAGGTAAGTAATCCCTATCGTTAAACTTTGGAAAATTTATTAATACTTTCGAAAATCATGGCACTGACACTAATGAATAAATATTTTTAATATAATATAACCCACAAAGTTCGTGTGGTGTGCAAATATACTAAATCAAATTTTCAATATTTTTAACAAATATACTTATTGGCATTTGCCATATTTTTCTTTAAATAAAATTTAAATTAAAAAATATTTATTTTAAAGTACCTATAAAAATTTAGGTATTCAAAGTTGATAGAATTATTTGACCAAAAATCTCTATAAAGGTGAAAATACCAAAGGCAATGGGAATAGAAAAAATTGGATGGCATAAGTCCCAAATTTTCTAACGATAAAACTTAAAAATAAATTAACGGTAAGGTTATATTATAATATATATTAGTTCGAATTAATAAGTGTTCGGCATCGAAAGAAACGCCCCGTATACCTAGTTGTTGACCTAAATTAAATTGAGTCGTTTGTTCACAATCTATCGTAACTCCAAGTGATATAATTTAACGCGAACGAGCTACAGTCCTCAAAAAATGGCATACATTTCTCAAAAATTTTACCAATTAAAAATAAAAATAAAAGAATAAACTTCAATAATCATCATTATCTATTTTTACAACCATATTATAGACATGAGTAACGAATTCGCATGATCACCGAATTATATGGTCATAATACTTATTAATTATTATTATGGTTTAATTGCTTTCCATAAAGTTGCCATCAAAGATATAACATTATTATGAAATACTTACAAGTTTACATGTAGTAAAAAATCATAAATCAAGTATATTGATCCCTAATTTATTATTTTAGTAATATAATACTTTTATTCAATTTTTAAGCACATTTACCTAAGAACCATATTATTTCCAAGTTAGGAACATTCTTTTCTGTTATATATTATCAAGGAAATTATTTTTATTGATATGGTAATTTATCAAAATCAAAATTTTAACGAATTGTTTTTAAATTATTTAACTGTGTGTACTAAGAAATTATTTAATAATATAGGTGAACGATAATAGGAATATGTAATTAATTTATATTAATTTCTGCAAGAATAATAAATATTAGAAAAATTATTATGATATATTATATTATTAAGTTGTATACAATATATTTTATTTAAAATCATATTGAAGAACTTGATATTATTTATATTGCGTATATATTTTAATAACTTAGAAACTACTCGTTTGAGTTCTGATTTTAATACATCAATACTAATATTTTCAAAAAAAAAAAAAAATCATCTTCTTAAAATAATTTACAGTAAAAAAGATTGTTCTCAAGTAAAAAAATCTGGGAAGTCAATCTGCTGTATAATAGAAGTATGGTATACTCGTCACTATGAGTAGGTCACTGATAAATTATTACACACTAAAAACAATTCTGAGCGGATACAATCTGTCAGCTTATTTATCTAAGGATATCTTATTAAATAATTATAATATTACTAGAAGTAATTTATTTTTCTATTAATAATAAGATAGCTTGTACCAGCTTTTGCAGTTTTGCCAGAAACAAATTGAATATAAGTCTGCCTGTTTTAAAATTATATTATTTTATAATATTTTTAGATGTTAATTAACTTATTAATCAATACCGACATACCATAGGATAATATGAATAAATTTGTAACATAAATAGCTTGAAATTAGTTTAATATCTTGAACATTTTTATTGTGTATAGGTAGTTGATAGTAATTTACGTATAGTATTTTTTAAATTAAAACAAAATATTTAAAACTTTAATTTATGTTTTAAATATCCAATTTTGTCAAGATTTGAACTTTGAAAATATTATATAGAAAACAATTGAGGCAATGTAAAATCAATATTTTCTAATTGCTAAAAGAATAATTGTTTAACGATCTTATTTTACATTTTTAAACTTAATGTGTTAAAACTAAAAAAAGATGCGAATTTTTAATTATAAAATAGGTAATTAAAATATTTTCGTGATTTTGACGAACTTTTTAAAAACTAGTGCTTTCAATATTTGTAAAAAAGTTGAAACCCTGGTTTTTTTAATTTTCATAGAAAATTTTACTATGAATTTTATATTATATTTTCAAATTTTTACTCATAAAAAACTTTATTATAAATATATTTAAAAATCTAAAATGTCTAATACATCTAAATAACACAAAAAAAGCTAAACTACTTTTAAAATTCTTTGTATAGTTAAACATTTCTGATTTTCTGCAATTTTTTTTTGTTCTTGGTTATTTAAAAAAAGTATTTAATATTTTTAATTTTAATTTTTCCAATGCACCAACTTAGATTCAATATGCTACCGAAACCAATCCGAAGTCGAAGATTAAAGAATTTTACTGTTTCTGTATGTGGTATTGGACAACAAAAAAAAAAAAAAAAACACACACACACACACATTATTGTGACACCAATATATATTTATCGCTCCATACGGAGTTTAAAAAGTAGTATCATTGATTTTAAAATATACCATATATTCTAATATCAATGGTAGTTTGTATTGACATTATGTTTTTAGTATAAAAAAAACACCTAAACATTTTTGAAATATGGTCCTTAAATCAGAATTCGTATAACGTAAATACGGTGAGTATGCTCAGGACAGTTATTCGCTCTATAAACCTACCGTATTTCGGACAGCCTATTGCGAACCCAATATAAACATGTTTTTGTTTCCAGTAGCTATTTATACATTATACAGCTAGAAGTATTGCACCTGTAATATATTTTATACATACGCACAGCGAACCTTCATTTTTGGTGATATGAATGACGTAGATGGTATCTAGTAGCTAGTGGCTATATAAAAATAAAGAGTACAACAATATAAAAACACAGATATTACAATTAAATCAATATTGTTATATTATTAAAGTATATAGTATATGTTATGTATTTGTTTTTATTTTATTTTGTTTAAATTTTACAAAATAAATAATAATGAATAATAATTATATAATATATTATACTTAAAAGTATTGAATTATATGATATCGCTTTCAACACAAATAACTTAAACTTTTCAAGAAAAAATTTAAAAAAAATAAATAAATAATAAACAAAATCAAATTAAAACCTAATCAGACTTTCTATGGGGTAGAGGAATATCTTCTTATATCACTGTATGATAATCTAAAAGCTAAAATTATACAATAAATAAAATACTAATACAAAAATTAGTGATCAAAGTTTTTTTTGCACGTGTACTGCAGGAACAGCTCATTAATAATATCATATAATATAGTTACTTATCAGTTATCGGTTAGGTTACTGTTACAATAATAATAGTAATAATAATAATATGACCAATTTTTTTTCATTAGATACATTTTTTGTTTTCATTATTATTTATGAAACTATATAATATATATTAGGTATATTACTCGTATAGTTTACATTATACTACAGCTTAAAAATCATATTAAATTATTATAACCATATTATTATAATACCACGTATATCGACATTTATTACACTGACATTTAATAATATTCCAATATAATCATAAGCATAGTATTATAACATATAAATGCTTAATTATACACACATTATATAGGTATTGTATAATGTACACATTTTTTAGTATATAATACATTTTTTCTTTATTCTTGTATATTTATCTTCTTATTTTAAAGACTAGTATTGAAAATCAATATCGAGTATAATATTTAATATTTTGTTATTTTATTAGTAATAATATGAAATTCTGTTTTATATGGATCGATTTAAAATAATTTACGCACAATAAAATATATTTCAGACAGGATATTCAACATTAAAATTATATAAATATTTATATCCAAAAATTCAATGGCTAAAAATAATTGACGTAAAACGTAAAAAAAGAAAAACAATAAAATTGTAATAAATTCAAACATACCAAGTACACAGAAAAACAACCAAACTAAAGTTGATATGTAACACAAAAATAAACGAGAAATAAAGTAGGTTCTTGTTTTTTAAATAACAAATTTACAAAAAAAATTTAACACACACGCCACACATGCGTGTTCGGTCGCGTGCTTAAATGTGGTAAACGGATTTCCGAATAATAAATAAACAATAAAACAATAATAAATTAATACAAAGAACGATAATAAATCAATAAAAGAACAGAAACTAACAGTACATTTTATAACAAAAACGTATTTTCATTCAGCACCACAAATATGACGTTACAATGATAATATTATGTACATATTTTATTTAAACAGACATTTTAGTCATAGGAATTGCGACGACCGACAACAGAAAGTCTATACTCTATAGGATGAAGCCGGTCCCCTGACTCGTAGGATAATATAGCGATCGTATACCCCGATGCAAAGTAGTGCAAAGGTCGAGGTCAATCGATTCCTACGGCAGCGGTGGCGGCGGCGATTTCCCGCAGGCCGACTCAACTCGCGACTTGACTACTTACATGCATAATATAGATATTATACTATACTCTATGGGTACATTGTACATTATATATAGAGAAATAATACATAACATTAACTTAAACGTTAATTATATATATATAGATATATTATAATACAATCCTATAGTGTATACCAGGGGTCACCAAATGGTAGCTAACTTTATCTGGCCTGCAGACAAAGATTTATTATAACTATTAATTTTTTTTCGTGATGGTAAATAAAAAGTGATTTAATAATTTCGATTTCATTTTTTTTATTTTGCCTTTATTTTCATTGGATAAACATGTGTTAAAATTTAATGTAGGAACACATATATTTTATCAAATGAAAATAAGTTCCCAAAAACTTACCTGACCCACATTTCTTAAGTATGACCCTTCAAAAATAATAATCGGTGGTCCCCAGTATATATTAAAGCATACTATGCTTGTTAGCATTATATTTTACAAAAAAATATTCGATGTTAAAACCAATCGGATTGCGTGTCAAGAGTTGTATTTGACATAATCAAATATGCCCTCTAAATGGGTATTGGAGGAGGTTCGTAAAACACGTAAAACGAAAATTATTATTATAATAATAATAAATAAAAATAAATAAATAAACAAATACTGTAGGTACGCTACTTTTATATATATTATTTTGTGTCTGTCACGCCGGTTAGTGGTCTAGCCGGTTCAATGTTTAGTGTCGGCGGACGTGTTATCAGAAGAAGTGGACGCGGACGTGGTGACAGGCGTTGTCCATTGCCACCTACAACCATACGGCTTTGCTTGGCTGAAACAAAAAACGGGGAACTAGGTAAAAATTTGAAACAGAATTAAAATAAAAACAAAAATCCAAATGAAAGATCATACGATGAAGGATATCGGCAGTAATTACATAATGTTTATGCACTTTGTGAGCGATATAATAGGTTTAGGTAGGAAGGAGGTCACAATGATAGGAACCTAGGTACTTATACTAAGAACATTAGACAGTATTTCTTAATTTTCTTTACTATAATGTGCTATCTTCGTCGTAAGTTTTTTCTTATATTTTTTTCGTTTGAGTAAAAATGTTAATTATCAGTTTTTACTCGACTCAGCTTGTTCAACCAAAATTTATTTTCGAAAAAAAAATATGATTTTTACATTATTTTTCCTTACTTTTAAAAAAAAGGTAGCATATGAATATATTTAAAACTGTTGTTCTACATTTTTTGAATAATTTTCCAATAAAATAATAATAATAATCAACCATTTGAACAAGTGCATAATGGAACCAACATTTTAATAATTTTTATACATTTTCCTAATTTTCAAATAACTATTAGTCTCTAGAAAATATGAATCAAAATAAGGGATGTTTTTAAGAATAAGATTAAATCCTTTCAACAAATTTCTTACGTTTTTAAATTAATATAAAAACATCTGTATATATAAAATTGACAAAATATTGATATTATTATAAATTGTTCATACAGTTGTAGTATAAAGACATATAATATAAACTGAAATGTGTATAAATTACTATAATGTTATGTTGACAATATTCTTCAATAAGCTCATCATTAAAGGGTGTATCGTAATTTTAAATTAATAAATAATCACAATCTGTAATTACGAAATTATTAACTATTAAACAACAATACTAAGATATGTAGGTGCTAATAACGGTTCACTGCAGTAAACGGTACATAAGACAATTTTACCTTTATTATTATATCCTGTATAGATTAGGTGTTGCGCATTAACTCGTAAATGAAAGCCATTGTCTGCGATACAAAAATGGTTATATTAAACTTTTTATTCTTAATGAAAATAAAATCGATGGCAGTGATCTTTTATTTAACATATTTAAGCAGTGGTGACTTTGTCAAATGATAATTAATTAGAAAACGATTAAAATTTTCAATATTTTTAACGAGAATTTATTAAACATATGTAAGAACATCGAAATAGAATAATAATTTACTATAATTGTATAACATACTTTTATGTACCTTTATTGCAATAAAATAGAATAGGTCATGCAATTTTGCAACATTTTACAGAATTTAACACCGACAACATTTAATTAAATTTATAAGAAAATAAATTTAAATTATTTAATGAAAATCTAAATGAAAATAAAATATTAATAGTTGAATCTAGTAATAAAAGATATTACCTTAATTTTTAAAACATTTAAAATAATATTGAAACATTAAAAGTTTATTCAGAATTACATTTATACAGAATAATTCATTTGAATGTATCATAATTTCTCGTGAATTTAAACGGTAAAATATCTTTACCTAATATATTTAATAGTACAAATTTTGTAAGGTAATATTTAGAATTTAATTATTTTTTAAACTACATGCCTACATCTATCATACATTTTCATAAAAAATATAATATATATGAATAAAGTTATTACATTTTAAAAACTGTAACAAGTTTTTAAATAAAGTTACTATTACTCGATAATCATTTTAATAACTTAATTAAGTATTATGATTGTAGTTAAAAATTTCAATACAAAATGCAATTTTTTAGACCATCAAATATTCGTTAAAACTGTTTAATATCATCTTTAAGTGCATTAAAAATTGTATGACATATTAGTTATGTATTTTATCAAGATTTTAATGTTTGAATAAAATTATAATATTTTGAATATTTTTATAATTTTTTAACTATAATAAAATGACGAATTCATTTGACAAGACAAGAACAGTAGTTTTATTTAAGGAAACGTCATGCTATTATTTAAAAAAAAGGATCAAACATAGTAAATAAATTAAACGAAATGGCAAACACTCAATATTGTCAATATACTAAACTGTTCTATAATACTATTTACCCCATGCTATAGTATACAAATTACTGTAATCATATTTCCCTTGTTTGCGCATAAAAGTAAATAATAAATATAACTATAATGTTATAAAAAAGGACATTTACGTTTTCATTGTGCTTAAATTTGGTTTTAATATTATTTAAATGAACGCAAATGCCAAATATACTATACCTATGTATAAAAAATACGGGTACAATTTTTTTTTTTATTAATTTTTATTTTTAAGAATCCATGAAAGTTCTATAATATAATTTGTTATTATTAAATTATCATCTACAAAAATATTAATTTATGTAAAGATAATATTTATTTTCCATATTAGTTATTATTTTTAAAATATAATATATGAAAATTGTAATAATAATTCATTTTTATACACTCAGGATTTTCTAAAAATTAAGTTAATGACATTTTAAATTTTATTAATTTAATACAATATATACACTATACATTACATGCGTTTGACGAATTTAAAATATAATGATATAAATAGTTCATAATATAGTTAATGAAGCATGTAATAAAAAGTGAAATTTAAATTAAAAATTATAAGCAACAATATAATTTAAATTATTCAAAATAAAATACTCACATCAATAATTATTTAATTACTATAATAACAACGAACAGACAAATTAAATGCATAAATGCATCAAAAAATTATCGCAAATATTATATCCATCTTTTATCTTTAACACATACATAAAATATATTCAAAGATAATTGTAATAAAATTGTATTTAATAATTATTTTTTACCAATCAAACGATAAAAATTTAAAGTCGAAAAGTTTCTTTTTTTCACTCTGATTAACTAATTAATCATATATTATATTAACCTTGCATATTATGGTAATAAAAATAAACTAATTGCTATCCAGTTTAAACCAAAATAAGTTTATATATTTCACACTACACAATTTTTATCGCACTCACAACGAGAGATTAGATCCGAATCGAATAAAACTAGTTCTAAAAACCTAAAAACCTTAAAATATTTGGAACCGAAACTGGGACCTATATTTTTAGATGAAAATAATATTGGCTATCATTATAAATTTTATTTTACCTTCGTGATAATTTTTTTGGATATACGCATGTATTAAATTCTTTAGTGCTTTGTTCAACTAATAGATATTATATTTATTTAGTCATTTTTTTCTCAGGATATATTAAAATCTAAATGAATATTTAATGATTTTTTTTCAATATTTACATTTTATTTTTAGATATATGTATAGTAAATAATATTATTTTATTTACGTAAAAAATTGAACCGACTCTAATATAATATATTTAAATGTTAGAATCATATAATATCGGTTTTGACCGGAACCCTAACTTTAACTATTAATTTTAATTTTTTTAAACAGGAACCGGAACTAGGACCCTTTAATGAAATAATTGAGTAGCGGAACCAGAGCCGGAACCGAAAAAACAAAAGATACTAGCCCTTGTCTATAAACTATAGTATGTACACTATCATTTCAAAACAACAAAACAAATTATGTATTGTAGAGTTTTAAGGTTCATGATTATTTTTATATTTGTAATATAAGTACAGTACGTCATGTGTAATGTATACATTAATAAATTATACAGTGAAACCTCGGTATCTCGAACTCTGATATCTCGAAGTTTCTGTAAGTCGAATTTTTTTTTTAGTCCCGATCATTCAGTATTGGACTTATGTATTAAGTTATTTCGGTATATCGAATTTCCATATATCGAATATTAATACATAATATTTATGCAATGTATAAACACATTTTATATTATTAATACACATTTTTCTCAAAAATTAAACATTTTTATTTCAAATTTTATTTATGTTTTAAACTCCTTCGCTAACTCGAAGTTTCGATATTATGTTGAATTTTTTCTTTGGTCCCTTACGACTTCAAGATACCGAGGTTTCACTGTATTGACTTTACGAACATTTCAGACTTAGTGATATTACAATAATGATATCGTGTAATATACAATGCTTAAGAATATTTAACATTATAAGTAAAATATTTAACCTGTAGGTTTACTAAATTTACACGATATGGAAAATAATAGTAAATGAGAGGCAACTTAATGCACCTCTGGTAATAAAAAATATAAAGATATTAAAAAAATAATGTAATTCCTAAATGTTTCGTGAATAACTAGGTATATATATATATATATATGCGTGGTTAATATTAGTATAATATTAAGCATCCTACAGATTAACAAAGTCCACGGCGTATAAGAATTGATTAATTAAATTTAATCAATCTACCACTTGTCAATCAATTATAGAAATATACTATGATGAAAAAAACAAGTTGTACATCTCTGATAAATAGTAATGTATATGGCAATAGCAGATTATATGGTTATATTGCACTATATTAGTAACAAAGTTAATATTTCAAAAGATATTTGTTTCATTAATTATAATTATAAATCTAGAGGAGAATGCTCTTGACAGATCTTTGAAAGAGGATACTGTTGCAGTGTACTTCCTACAAGGATACCTATAACTGCAGTACGTTAGTTCGATTACATTTCACGGTTTTTTTTTTTTTTTTTTGTTTTGTTTTTTATCATAATAATAACACATCATCCTATAATTTTATGCGAGTTACAATTCAAATGTAATTTTGATTTGAATTTATACAATTAACCATCCACCTACTAACTTTTAAATATTAAATTACAATTTCAATTAAATATACATTGCTATAAACTCGACATGACGATATAAATAGATTTATTTTTGTAATTGTGTGCAATAAAAAGGTAGTAGTAAAGATGATAATATTATACATTATATTGTTAGTTTTTTTAATAATATTAAGTATTAAGTATTGGTTATTAGTTATTCAAGGTTAAATATGAATAATACTTTTTTTTTCATTTGTCATTCACTACTTAATTTATTAAAACATTTTAGTAAAAAATATTGGTTTAACACATAGG